GGATGAGCCAAAACACAAATTTAAAACACACAGCATTCCTGAGCATGAGAACTGTTAGGCTACAATCACCTTCAAGCTTCCCACAGTCATGGCCAAGGAACCCTTGAGTATTTTCTTTAGGTCTTTCCAAGTTTAAAATGTGAATGCTCCTTAATAAGGGTATGCAATTAGATTGCACACTAGAAGGTTAACAGCTAACCCTAATACTAGTTTAACAGTCAGAGTCTGGTCCATTCAATCAAAACTGGCTTTTTGCCACGTTGTCAAGATAGTGGAGACATGTTTTTATATAACAATAATTTTTTTTCAGAGTTCTTTTAATGAACCAGCTCTCTGCACCAAAATCCCCACATTCAAGGGCTCGGTGACCCCAGGTTTCTTCCAAAATCCTATAAACATGCATTTTAATTAATGACAGTGCAGGCTGCCTCACAGTAAGAAGATTCTAGGTCAGGGATTCTGGGCCAGGTTACCAGCAGGTACCAGGTACCTACTGGTAACCTGGGGGGTTAAAATAAGCCAGGGGATTTTAAAAATCTAAAGGTATGACTTTCATTTTCAGTCAAAAGTACAAACACTCCTCCTCCTATTAACCTGATAACACAATTCTGTAATGGGGACAGATATCGCAATGCATGACACTAGGGCTCCATCTCTTATGGTTTTTATTATAAACTGCCCACAGTCTTTTTTGTTTGTTGGTTGGTTTTAAAGAATTTGTAAAGAAAGGAAAATGTTTCTGTCACTATTTGGAAGCATTATGGGATTTAGTCAAGCAATCGCAAAGGTGTGTGCACTGTTTATCTCATCAAAGTTGTGGTTGAAAAATGTAACACACAACCCTCTGATGTGTGCTGTGGCAGCAAGTTTTCAGCTACAGTCTAGGAAGAACATAAGTGTTCCTGCCACTAAAGGAATTTAAATTAACAATAATTAACTAGGATGTCAGCAAGCAAACATTCAGAGCGTGGATACGGTTGCACACAGTCTATATACAACCATGTTTTCATTTTCTACAACAAAACACTGAGAAACCACACAGATTTTACCAGATGTCATCTGTCCCTCTTGCAATATTCAGGTGTTTGCACTAGAAGAGGTTGAAGCACAGACTGTATTTGCTGGCACTGTAAAAATACATAAAACTGGTTTAACTAGCTATCAATTCTCACAATTTCTAATAGTAGGTTAATTAAAACTACAATACGTGATGTCTTAAGCAGCTTAGCCTTTAAGAATCTTTTCCTTTTAGCCGTTGCCAAACATTTGATGATGTTTATGCTTTAATAATGAAGTGCTGACCGTTTCCCATTTCTCTCTATTGCAACTCCTCCATTTAACTGCTTTTACACAACACGAAGCTTCAAGTGTTACTACTTAAATTTTGAACTAACATTTTTTAACAGCAGCTAAACAAGTAGGTTTAAAAAGTATATTCAGCATCCAGCCAGACATCAATGTCTTTTCATTTTGACCAAGTACAAAATCATAGCAAACCTGAAACTTAGTGACAGCTATTTGAATAATTTATTCAGTTTTTCTAAATAAAATTACATTACAATAAGGTACTGTGATCAGGAAATATGTAAAGGTTCCCTGCACACAACACCGTGTTCTGATATTTCTACAGGGACATACAAAGCCAATAGGCAACAGATGTCCGACTGCTTTGGCGATAAATTGTAGTAAATCCATCACCTGAGATTGAGTAAGAATTTGTCTGCATTTTTTTTCTAGTTGCTGTAATGCGTCTAAAACCCATTTATTATAAGGATTACATATCAATTACAAGGTTGGCAAGATAGATGAAAGCTGAACATATATCACTTGTGGTTGTAAAATGCCTGCAGGTGGTGTACATGGGCCCCGGGGCGCAAGGAAACTGAAAAGAATGATATTCTAAAAGAAGAGCTTGACATGCATTTAGCTAGTCAGTGTATTCCTTAAATATGCTGATGCAGCATAATCGAAAACTGGATGAATTCACCCATCTTTTTTCTTTGCTGTTGTTTTTTTGAGTGTGTGTGCCAGGAAGGATATTCTGTTATGTATTTGTATCTAGATATGGACACATAAATACATATTTATATTTAATGATTTATGACTGCTCTTCTTTTTAAATGCTGATAAAAACTAGTAATCCTACTTGCATGGTACTTTAAATTTGAAAATTCATCCATATATGTTTCCATTTTTCTGCTTTAATTTTCCTGCAATTGAAACATATTTATTGGGTCTTTTATAAAATTTTGACTTTGGGCATATTTTAATGTTTTCTGCACACCTTCTCAAAGTATGCAGTTTACTTTTGTTGATTACCAAATGACCAAAGTGGTAACAATTGTGGTTCTGACACGTATATTCTCAGGCAATGCTCTATTTTTCAGAGAAGCAATGCTTTTTTTTGGTTTGCAGCAAACCCACATGTTCACTTTACAAAAGATTTCAAGGACAATCTGCAAAGTAAATCTTAGAAAAGTTTCACGATTCTCACACTTCCTCTGTAAGTTCTTGACAAGTATACATACATATGAGTGTCTACATGTCAGGTCAGGTGTCAGGTTAGCCTGGGGTCATTTGCCACCTCAGTTAATCTCCTCGGCTGTCTCAGGAGTATTCATTCTCAGACAAACAAAAACAAATTGAATATCTGACTATTTACAGGTCTTATTAACCTGATACAATACAGCCAATCTTTTCAAAATCAGGATGGTAAAATCAGGACAACCAATAGGTTATTTTCATAAGCATTTCTGGTAGAAAAAGAGTATTGGTGAGTTAATGACTACAGGCATGTGGCCCACCCATGATGCAACCAGGATTGGGCTTTGATTACAAGGAATGCAGTGGGTATTTGACACTAGCATTAATCACAGATAGACAGGTTTGACATAAGGGCTGAGACCCTGAAGACCTTCTGTTATTGTTCACAAAAAGAAACTGACAAATAGTATTTAAAATTGATGTTGCAGTTTTTTGACCCATAACATGGGAAAAAACAGACAGGCATTCATGAAAAGGTAAGTAGGTTTTAATAGCATTATAACCTTATGCAAGACACACGATAATCAACAATGGCTATTTGCAACTTTATTTAGGTTTACACTAGGGCTGCCACAAACGATTATTTTGATAGTCGACTAGTCACCGATTATTTTTGCGATTAGTCGACTAATCAGATCATGCATCCACTGGACGTACAGCGTACAGCTTATTGCACCAGCAGCATCTGCTCTTATAGAACTAACATTAGTTTACAGCTTTAAGTGTTTAAGGTATGTGCTAACTAAAAATAAAGACAAGATGATAGTTTATTAAATTTTAATTAAATTTGCAGATTGTTTCGGTGAAGTTTAATAAACGCCTTGCTATCTAAAATATAACGGGACACCGGAGTATATTCTCCAGCATCTCACACTTCTGATAATCAGTTGTCTGCTTGATGTTTATTCAGCTGTGTAAAAACTATAACTTTAATCTCAGCCAAACCGATTTACTCAGGAACAAATAAAATACTAAAAAAAGCCAAACAATAACATTTTTAAGTTATCTAAGTGACTCATATTACATGTTTAACTTGAGTAGTGAAAGACGGCGGTGGGTTTGAAAACGATTTGCTGGGACTCTGCTGTTCTCACGGGCTCTAGTGAGCCTTGCCCCCGGCTAGCTATCGAGCTTTTGAAAATATGTGGTGTCTTGATAAACTGAGCAGATATTTGAGGTTTACACAGCTACATTCTCGCTTGAAATTATGTTAAACGTTTATTTTGAGACCCAGAAAGAATAATAAGAGTAATATTAAAACTACCTAGCTGCCGCCATTGTTGGAAACTGAGCTGGGCTGCGCTATGAATTCTGGGACACAGCTACTTCTTCTTCTTCGGGGTTTAACGGCAGCTGGCATCCTTGTACATGCAGTGCTGCCATCTTCTGTTTCAGTCCGTTATTACACTCTTAAATCCTACTACTTACTGCGTCTTTTGTGATCTTACAAAGCTTCAAACGATGCGTCGACTATTAAATCAGTCGTCGACGATTTTGATAGTCGACGTAATCGTGACTAGTCGACTAATCGTGGCAGCCCTAGTTTACACTGCATGCATCAGCTCACCTTTACAGCTAGCAAATGATGCTTTACATGTATACCGAGTGTATTTTACAGTCAATCAAAAATATTTGCATCAGGAAATAGAAAAAAATTCAAATAAAAATTCCTCAGCCATCCCAATCTAAACATTATCTCATCCATCATGACGTCTGGGCACGAAAGTCTGGAAATGTGCCACGAAAGCATATCAGACTGTTTGGCCACTGGGCAGAGAGCAACCTTACAATCCCCCGACCAAATCCTGAGACATCATGTCATAAATGCAAATCTATGAGGACATCGGCGATTAAATGCAAACTTGTATTTCAAATGTAGAACTGGTCACTGCCTTGCTAGTGTGCCACTACTTCCTGCACTCACCGAACGATATGTTACAGAAACACACTGTTCTAAGTTTCGTGGTTCTTTTGCAAGACATGCCAACAAACAAACCTTAATCAAGTTCCCACACGTCAGACAACGCACGCACACAACATCGTGCTTTAACACAGTATGAAGGCCTATAATGAAGAAAGGCATCCTTCCTTCTACCTATAGGTGTCTGCAGGGATTCACTCTGCTAGGAAAAATGCCCAATTCTTCATCTTAGTAATTCTGAGAAACCTACTCTTACTAATATTATTAGATCAAAAGAAGTCATCATCCCACAAAAATCTGACCAATCGTCGTCTATGAAAATAACTGAGTCAGACCTAGAGGGAGTGAAAGAAAACACACAAAAGTAGCAAAGTACAAAAACAATGAGGCCATGGTCATTTTCCCTTCTAGTTTCACTGTGTCTCATACCGTCATCGCATATCTGCACAGAAAGCCCCTCTAGCCGTCTGCAAACTTTGAACAGGAACAACACACAAAAACAAGCTTCACACACACACTTGCACATGCCTCTTACCTCCCAACAGGCAGACTGCAGTGGACAGCTGAACCATACTCTTTGGTTTAAGTCCTCTCCTCACTCCACAGGGCTTTGAACTCAACACAGTGAGTATGTAAAAATACACAGACTGGACGGGCCACACACACACACTGCAGTAACACTGTGGTCTGAAACTCTTGTGCCTTCAGTGGGACGCACTCCCAGCTTTAGGTCCTCATTGTACTGTTGATCATCCAGATCCTTTAAATGGCTGCTGAAACAATCTGAAACAGGAAACAAAAAGCAGTCGAGCATTAGACATTAAGATTTAAAACCAAAATTACTAAATGTTTTCACATGTTTATCTGTAGTCATAAAAAGGTTTGAACGAACGGCTTTGGTTCCTACATGTAACTTCAGTTATCTTTATGTTTCATTCATAATGTTACTCTTTTATTCCACAATGTCACATTTTATTTCCTGATTTCCCTTTTTACTTCACACACACCTCGTATAACCAGAAAGCAAGTTCAACAGCTGCTTCTTGGCTTAGCTTGGTGACACCTGACATCTAGTGCAACAAGAAAATTAGCTGCTGCTCTAAACAAACAGTACACATACACATGACCTAATATCTTATATTTACTTAGCTTAGCAAAGGCTGCACATAATATCCAACTAGCTAAACAAGTTTATGATAAAGAGACAGTGCAAACAGCAGTAGCAACAATTGGTTTTAAGGAGCGACGAGGTGAAAATGTTAAAAAGAAATCTCTATAATCAGCCAATTAATCACACTGTAACACTGCACACAAGAGCTCTGAACCTACAAGAAAACTGACACTGAGTAGATCTGTTTTCCCACAAGACAATGATCCCAGACAAGCCAATCAAAGCAGTTCAGTCAGAGGTCCCAACCTCAGTCCAGTATCTTACTTCCAAGAAGAATCATAAAAAACAAGTGTCTCTGCAGGGAAAGCGTTTTTAGAGCAATGACAGGTTGAACTTTAAAAATAACCAAGAGTGCCCAAAACATTTGCTTTGTTCAAAGCTATATATTAAATACTGGGGTGTGTTCCAGGGCAAATGAAAGATCTGACCAACATAACTGGGAAGTTGTTTCATAGCATCTCATGGCCATCCATTCAAAAGATATTGAGATATTTTAGTCTAGACCAAAGTCCTGGACCTCACCAAGTGACTTTTACTGCCAGTTGTAAAGCTTTCCTAGCATGGCTATTTAGCCATTTAGGTTTAGGTGCTTTAAAAGAATCCAACATAATGAAGTCAGAAAGTAGTGTTTTTGTGCTGCGTCACCCCCGATCATCTCACAATGTGAAAGTTAAGCTTCTTGTAGAGATTCCAAAAGTAGACTCCTGTGCGGCAATGATGACTAACCCACACGACCAGCTGCTCTGTGTTTGTGGTACTTAGTCAAGTTGTTGAAAATGGAACCAAATGTAATGTCTGGGTAGATATTGCTTAACATGGTGATTCTCAAATGTTTGTCAAAGTTGTGTATATATATATAAAGTTATGACTGTGTTTTTACATTTCTATTTGAGTCCTTTGCATAAACTAATTTACAAACACACAGGCAAGATGTATGAGTTCAAAAAAAAAATTAATTAATTAAACTGTCAAAGCAAAGCCTGCTCATGTGCTCAACGGGCCTCAGCCAAAATGTATCAAGTGGCAGGCAGTGGCTAACACCATCAATTTGCCATCAGGCAAGCAGAAATGGCCCATAAACATCATACATCCATTTTGAGAGAGATTTCCAGAGAACATAGTGTCTCAACAAGAGCTCTAAACCCGTTTGTTCTGATAAAATGATGGAGGGAAATTATATGATAAGTGGAGTTTGTTTCAAAGCAGATAAAAGCTCACACTATACCAGATACTCTCTTGCAAAAACCAAATTACAGCCATCATTCTAGGTCCAAATGCTCATTATAAGCCTTTCTGTGACAATAATGAAGATTTTTTTTTCAATTTTCTTCAAACAGACGAGTGTGCTGCATAATTTTTGTTTGCCCTTTGGTGTGCTTTAAAGTAATAATTTTCAGAAACATTCAGTTTCTTATACAACCAAACACAATGTCAACCAAACTCAAGCTAAAGTTTACACACACTCACACATTTACAAAAAATACACTTTCGATTTCTTACAGTACTTTGTACACACATCTGCTTCATACTGCACTTGGACAGAGGTGAACTTCATTTCAGACCACTCACAAAGCGGCACCAGCACCTATGCTGTTATTAAAACTTTAGAAATACTCAGAAAATGAGCACAAACTGCAAACAGCCATCATCAATGAAGACCAATCTTCTCATTAGCTGTTCCAATGAAAGACAAGGTTTTTCAAGAACTCCTGCTGCAATAGCAAATGTGCATGTCTGATATATTATATTAAATTCAGTATATAAATAACAGGGCTGGTGCCAGATGCCAGTTTGACACACCGGTTGAGCAAGTGCCGTTTTTGCCTTACAGCTCCAATGTAGTGACTCAGATTTAAGTCCCACCTGCTTCCCATTGCTGCTTTGCTTTCGTTGACAGGAAAAAAGATATATCAGAAAATTAGAAACATTTCAGGCCAAGTTTGGTAAGCCTCTATCCAATATCTTTCTCTGTTGCTAAACACACAGCTTCTAATTTGTAAAATCACTAATACATTTTCTCAGTATACTTTAGCGTGTCTATTTGACACCAGAGAAAGGCATTAAAACGGGTACTTATGCGGGACTTATACATAGTTTTAGTGTCTTTTTCTAATCCTCTCTCACCTTCCTCCTCATCCTTATCTTTCGCAGCCTGATGATAAAACTTTTGTTATATCCATTGCAGCATTCCTCAGTCTCACATCACACCTCAGTGACTTCACTGTTGGTAAAATATGTCACCAGCATTTAGAGGATTGTGATATTGAGCCCATCCGTTGCTTCAAATATCAACAAATGACTTCAACCAACCGCTGGAAAAATAGTCAGTGCGTGGCACAAAAGATAAGTCACCTTTTACTCACACACCTCTCCTGTTTGTTGCAGTGTTGAAATGTATCTGACGCAGATGTTTGTGCAGTTTAGCTGCAGGCTACTTGTGCTTTGAGGGCCCAAGCTCCCCTCTGAGATCGATAAGGCTCCTCTATCCTTCACAATCTAGGCTGTGACAACTGCTGCAAGGTTTTGAGATGTCGCCACTGATTGTATAACTCAGGCTTGCAAAACTGTCAATACGCCCATACGTCAATACGCATGTAAGATTTTCTTAAAAAAAAAAAAAAGACTAAGAACAGAAGAGAAAGAAAAAAAAGCAGCGCTTAGCATTAAATACCCTCCGCACCTAACGAAACCGAAAGTAATGCCGGACCGCTCAAGGCACAGCTGCACACACGAGCACATGCAGGAACACCCACAGAGAGAGAGACAGGGAGAGACAGTAAAACAATCACACCTTTATGTCCAAAAATGAAATCTCAAGAGATTAAAATCTGCATCCAAGACCACGCAAATGGCACTTTTCTCTCTGTGAGTGCGCTCTTTGGCATGACCATTAATAGCCCTTAAAACCCTACAACAGCCACACACCTAAGTATTTAACTCTAAATGCAAATCAAAACCAATTTTACATTTTAATCTTAAAATAAAGTTTCAGTCCTCAAAGATGAAAATCTGCCAGAAAGTCAGCGTTTTCACTTTTCACAAATGACCTCACTCCCAGACTATCAATTTGGTCCTCACCACGTAGGCTACAATATTACGCAGGTACACACATACCTCCAAAGTCCCTTTGCCTCGCACTCCCAGGGTGAGAAATCCTTTTCAAATGCGACGGTTGTGGTGAGCCTTTGTTAAATGCGAAGAAAAGCTGAACGATAGAAATCCGGTCTTAATCTTGTCAGTGAAGGAAGTCCACTACTGGATTTGTCCATCCACGGAGTCCTGGTGCGCTGTCTCAGTGTGCCGCCAAGTGCGCCACAGGCTGCCGCTCCTTCGGTCAATTCCAGTCACCACATAAATAGCTGCCAAACCTTCAAAATAAAAGCACGCCATCCGGCATAGACCCTCCCCTTGAAACGAAAAAGAGTCTATACGGACATTTTAATCATTTCAGTGGCTATAAAACTGACAACTGAGCGAAAAAAATACTGAGCAAAATATGACTCATATTTGTTTATGACAAGACTGAAGGTTTGCCACCTCATCCAAGAAACACAGACTATTCTCCTTATTGAAACTGATATAGCATCACTGTATTAGAAGGTTTATTTATGTAACAATTACCTTACTTGTATTTTAACAATTTTGACACCCCATCATTAACTTTAATCTTCATACCTCCAGTAACTGATTCATTTAATAAAATTAATAATCCAATTAATATTTATTAAAAATGAATTTTACTATCAGATTTTACACAGTTTTGTTTCCACACAGCCTGATCTATTCTGCTGCTAAACCTGTGAATTGATGTTACATTGATATATCGTTAGCTATTTGCACATATAATGCTATCGGCATTCATAACAGCCAACTAATGAACATTTAAAAGAAAGACGAGAGAAACACCCTTCAACAGCGATATGAGTGTTGATTTTTGCATAACTTGTCCACCAGAGGGCACTTTATGAGTTCCATGTTGGCAATATTTGCTGGGAACAAACCAGCTGATCCAAACAGGTTACATGAGTAATGACGACTTCAACTCAGTTTTATTTAAATAGCATCAAATCACAACAACAGCTGCCTAAAGGTGCTTTATATTGAAGCTAAAGACCCTACAATAACATACCCTAAAATTGATTTGAGACAAAAACTGCATTCTTATATTAACTTAAAAATGTTCATAAAGAACTACACATAAAAAGCATGTTTTGTATGTCTGGAAGAAAAATAAAGCAATAAATCGGCTGACATATCAGATTTTTATATCACCAAGTATTGGTATAGGTTTAAAATTGTGTATTTTTAATGAAAGCCAACTTCCTTTCAAATGAGTCCTTTAATTCTTCCTTAGCAACATAGAGGGACACTAAGTGAGAAACATAGTTTGGAAGTTTCAGCCGGAATTGCCGGTGGCTTTCCCACTCTGGCTTGACACATGAAAAGAGAAAACAGATGATACCTGGACTCGTGCTAATTTTCCACTGGTCTGCAGTGAATATGTTTTCATTCACCTTCTTCACTGCTCTTACAGCTCCGTTCACAAACTGTTCCTCAGCTTTTCCAAGGTTGTCTGGTGCACTCACCTTTGTGAACTAAAGTCCTGCAGGGAAGACAAACACTGAAATGCAATCAGAGGTGAACCAGACTGGTTATGTGGCACAATAAATAATGTCTGCTCAGGTTTTTAAAGACCAACTTGTATTAGAAGACTGGAGATCTCAAAGACTTCTTTGACTTTAAGATTCAAATTACCCATATTTATCTCTATTCTTTTTTGAGGGCACATTAATTAATAAACAGTCTGCTTTCATAACTGCTTATCTTGAGACTCTGTGGAGGGTAAAGCGGCTGCCTGAGCTTGCACGATGTGGTATATTTCACTTTAGATGGGAGCCAGATCATACCAAAACACTCAGGACCAAATCCTCACCACAACCACATGTCTCTCTCCAGAATGGCTGCTGAGCTCAGATGGGAAAAGCCCACGGGAGTGCAGGACATAGCCACGGACATTGTTTTTGAGGTAATATTTCCATTAGGTCATATGAGATCACATTTGCCAGAGTTTCCTAACCATTACCAAACCAAGATTAGGCACTCATCAAAAAATGGAAATGGTCAAGAAAAAGAACTGACCAATAAGTCATAATTTAGAAAATTTAAAAGACTTGCTGTTTGGTTCACAGAGTTTGACTCAACAAAATGATTTCTCACACCATAGCAAACATTCAGAAAGTACCATAAATTCATTTATTTTCATTTACAGTATAGACTGTAAGCATCTCTTATAACCAGTGTCTCACAGTAAGTTGTGATTTCTTCTGTTCTGTATGAAATAATGAGAGTGCAATGTTAATCCCTGCAATTACTGTCATCAAAACATTCATAGTTTACATCAGAAAATACATAGAGAGTGCATTGTGCAGCATTTTGGCCGCCAGCAAACTATAACACCCTGGGAGCACTTGTCATTCTGATGGCACTGTTTCAATCGTTACCTTAAATATTTACTTTTGAGAGATAAATCCAGAACAAGTTATGATCAATACATTTTGCAGCGCTGTTTAAATGAGTTCTGTTCAGGACTAGCACCTCTGTTTTGGAAATGCTACAGACAAGTCAGGAAACAGACTACACAGAGAGAGAACAGAAATACATGTTTGGGAATTGATAAGGTGCATTCAAAAATGATAAATTAGGAGAAAGTGTTGGTCAAAGATTAAACAAATGTAAGGCAGAAAGAGTAGAAAATGTAAAAATCACCTTTTTATCACTAGCAATCCGAGCATTTATGTTCAGGAAAAGTCAGGACAGTGGCCAGATTTATTAATTTCCCACATGCACTTCCAATATGTTCCTGCTAAATTATGGTAAGTTTCTTATTTATTTATGTTCAGGCACACATTTAATGTAATGTTGTGACTTAGATGTTGTTTCATCGACACACAAAAGTGGATAAATACCTAATGAGGTGCTTATTATTTGTTGTACGACTTCATTAGACTGTAACAACAGCACATTAAAATATTAATTCTTTATGACTCTTCACTGCTGAATTTTAAATCTTTGCTAAAAGGCTCCGTGTTCCAGAATAAATACCAGAAACATGATGTGTCTGACTTTAGTGAAAGTGCCGAAGTTACTCAAGGTCAAATATTAAACGATACACCTAGCCAATGCCCTCAAGACAAGATGAGTCACATGATTTGCATTCTCATGATCTGAGCATTCAGATGATGCCATCAGGCCCAGTGAATGAGGAGATTACCTTGACATAAATGAAAGTGGTACTGAGAGTACAATTTGATGATGAAGTCTTATTCATTCGATGCTAGCACAGCACTTATTGTTGGAGCTTTTTTTTTTTTACTTAAAAATGTGCTGCGTAACAGCTTTCTGTTAAATAAAGCATCAAATGCAACATCAAAAAACAAAAAAAAAACAAAAAAACAGAAAATAAAAACATCAAAAAGTACAACCATAGAAATGCTCCCCCTTTGCCAAAAACAGTGACTCAGCTTTGGTAGAAGTGCTTGGTTGCCACCAGTAAAGAAGTCTGTGGTTGTACTCGGAATTGTTATTGTGTAGAGTTCTGCATTTCTATTGTTCACTGTTGCCTAAATGCCAACTCAACTGAAGTTTGGTTAACAATAATTTTAAGGTCTGCAAATGTAAAATACAATGTAATATGAAATATTCCCCACTTGTAGCGTGAGACTTTAAACCATGCCAATAAAACAGACTGGGGAGTCTACAGGTATGGACACAATGCAGAGAAGTCTCTCCATCTCTCACTTCTTCCTCCTCTCTCCTCCACATCTCAGTGATACCGAGAAAGGCTGAGAAGTCCAACTCATAACACTTTGGTCAAGAGGTCATTTGTTTATTCTGGGCCAGTGAAAAGCGTAACCAGCAGCATTTTCATTCCTCGCATTGGAGTGAGGACAGAGGATAACCAGTGGTGTTTTGTTTTTACTGGATTTTAACTCATAGAGAAGAAATGTCTCCGTGCACAACGTAAGCCATGCACAATATTTTTAATCACCATTTATGGAAAATGGATTTGTGTCAAATTTCAGAAATCCAGAGTTTTATGTTTGGCTGATTATCTTTTCCCATTCTGGTTTTATGTTTTGCACAAACGCTGCATATTTATGACTCGTAAACGCCATAAACTTAGATAAGCAGTTCCTGCACAAGCTCCAAGCTCCAAGAATGCATTTTCAAAAATGACAATTTCTTTCAAAATCATTGGTGGTGAAGTACAGAACAACACAAACATATTCAAATTTATGTAAGTTTCCACTTCGCATTAGTATCCCACAAGAAAAATGATGGACTTTCATTATTAATAATGCAACTGAATTCTGTCTTTTGTTGCGCTTCTGTTGTTTGTTAAATTTCAAACATCTGGTGTGTAGTCGAGACCTAGCATTAAAAATGTGCATACGGCAATCTGAGTTACAAAGCTGATGTCACCTGAGTAATTCACAGGTAAAAAGGCTAAATTATAAAATTCTCTCAAAGTAATCAGCTACTTGCAGACACCAAATGCCTTCTAAAGACGGCTAAGTGTTGGCAGTAGGACTATGAAGCAATAAGCTGAAATGTTAATTTATCCTCTTTATATCTGGTTAGTCTCTCATATAATCATGCAGCAATATAATGCACAGAATCCACATATCCATTGCTGATAGTTAATATCATTCAGACTTTAAGTGGGCATTAAGATTAATTTAATGCAAAAGTGTAGTAAAAGGGCATAAATAAAACAGGCCTGATGTGTTTGTCTAAACTTTTAGCTAAGGAATATTGCTTGCATTCTTTAGCGTGATGTATAGATAGAGGAATGACACACAGTTATGACACTTAGCTGAGTTGAAAGTTATAGGTCTGGTCGCAGATTTGTTGCCAAGGTGGAACACTTGGTTACATGTTGGTGATAACTACTGGGCTCTTCTACGTTGGATTTAAAATGATCAAATGGTCATAATGTATGCAGTTCATTTCTCATTTGACATTTCATGCTTCAGAAATTGACACTGAAGGGTTTGAAGCTAACCACATAAACCAAAGAGTGAAACTAAAAATATACAAAGGAACAGCAATGGTTCCAAAGTGCAGTGTCAGTTTTATTGAACTGAGATAAAATCAAATATACATTTTAAAACAGTTGAACTACGTACTGATCTCAGATTCTCTGTTGGTGAGAGTTTCAGGTGTCATATGCTACATTTGCTATTAATGGACAATATTAGAATGTGCCCAGAAATGTTTTAAAAATTCCCACTTAAGTTTAAATAAATAAAGAATGAAAGCACCAACAGTAAAAATG